CACTACGAGGTAGAAGAAGGAGAGCAGCACTGAGTAAAGAGGAAAGCCTTCAGCAGTTTTAAGTGCAGTCATACACAGACACTCTCTTTGTAGACAATCAGCTCATGCACGTGGTCACCATCTCTAATCATTACACACAGATACTCATGGCACTGTAGTTGTACTCTACTGAGCTCTAATATGTGCCTGAGCAAGCTGTCCCAGTGAAGCAGCGCCGCTTCACCAAAAAACTGCAGATCTGCACGTCATGCACCCCACAGCATCCGCAGAGACTAGCTGTGTTGACATGGGCAGACGTTGGCAGATGTCCGCTGTACCTCATATGACCCCGCACCTCTCTCTGGGCAGCTGAGCGAGGGAGGCCGCCAGGCTAATCTACTGGAGTGAGGAACGGCCCGCTTAATAATTAACACAACAAGAGATACGTTGCTTGTGTTTAACCACTGTTTATTCGGTGGCCCAGTTCAATGAAGTCAAAGCGAGCTGCCAGCCTGTGAGTCCACCTTAAAGGGCCTATATCCGACAGTTTTCTTGTCTTTTTTTAGTTCTTTTTTCATACAATTACATGTCTGTAGTTTTTAGTTTACTTTTTATTTAATGGTATTATCATGCATGTTTTTTGTCTTTTTAATATTAAAGTTTTGTTTGGAAACAACGGGGTAAATTGTTGACACAGCCAACGTAAAACTGGCCGTGGTATCTAGGTAGATTGACAACTGTTCTTACTAATATCTTTATATTTTATTGTAACAGCAAAAGTATTCAGTGTTTTAAATAACATAGCCTTACTATATACTGTAATGATGCTAAATCATAGCTAAATAAATAGATACAACAAAGTGAGCTCTCCTATTGGTTAGACCTTCAGGAGCAGGATTGAAGACCTTGTAAGTCAGATTAACCACCATTATAATTAGGAAGTAAAAGTGGAATTAACCAATCACATTTTGTTTTCCAGTGGCTGGGCCTAATTTTATGAGAAAAAGTCACTGTACGCCTTTCAAAAGTCTTAGGTATGGCAGTGAGTTCAAATACATGCTGCAGTCTGAACAGGTTTAAGTTAGTTGTTAGAAATGGAAAATAGTGGTGGTAGCTCTTTGTAAAACTGCAGCATTGAAGATAAAGTATATGTTAATTTGTCTATTACAAGCTCTAAGTAAAATATGGAATGTCTTTTAAAGGTTTCAGACATTTATGATTAACCTGGAATTGCCAAACAATGTTCATGTGTATTGCTATTAGCTTAGCACTTAAATACTTCAGGTGCTAGCAGGAATTAGCATTATTGTAAAAGTGTTTTTTTTTCTTGTTTTTTGATCAAGTTTTGACATTTATGGCTCGAACTGAAGACCTAGCTCTAATAGTCACGGCTCTCCACTGGATATTTGTAAATGTTGGTTTTTGTGACATCACAAAGAGAATTCATTCTAAACAGGCTGTTTTTGCAGCTTAGTGTCCATATATGGACTGTAGGAACTGTGAAACTTTATCAATATTTGCATAATACCTCAAACTGTTATTTCCAAAAAAAAAAGAAAATTTGTTTTTTCATAATATGGGCTCTTTACCATCAACTCCTAATTCTGAAACATCTCTGAATTCACCATAAGTTGGAGATATACAACAAATAAAGAAGCTCCAGAGGGAACTGTGGTCATAGGCTAAGAGCCTATACACAAAGCCTGCCCCTACAGAGGATTCTCCTTCAGGGCTACAATCACACAGTGGTCAGTAATTTGCATGCAGATTTGAAGGGTGGGGGATTGCCTTAAATCTTTCTTCTCTGTGGGAGATGTGATGTAGCAGGACTTTGTGATGAAGCTGGGGAAAAAAGGGAGAGCGACTGCAGCAATGTCCTGGCCTGCTTTTTGATAGAGTGCCCGCCAGTGGAGCGGTCCTGAGACGTTAGCGAGGGGTTTTATTTTTGGGACAGCCCTTAAGTAGGTCAGCGCAGAGTCTGTGACAGTGCTGTGGCAGTGAGTGTAAACAACGGCGCATGATGTTGTTTTTCTCGGCCTGCCCTGGCACCAAAAGCCACCGGCTGGCCTGACCCTCCCCCCATTTCACTTTGCAGTCTCAAGAGCTCCAAAAGCTACAGCTGGACATTGACCTCTGACCTTTTCCTATGCACGGATGTTCCAAGACAATCTTCTCCATTACTTTTGGACACGGGCCACTGTTGTATAACTGTGTAACTCTGTGGAGCTCTACAGGATTTCTGAGTTGAAAATGGGGGAAAATATGCACTTGGATCTCAGTGTGATACAAAAACGTCACAAATGCTGCAACAAGTCGCAGCAGAAAAATCCAACTGAGGGAAAAAAAAGACAACAGCCAAAATGGCTCCCATCCGCGGGAACGTGTTTGTGGCTACGACCCAAAGCTAAGCAGGCTTTCCAGAGGAAAAAAAAAAAACAAAAAAAGAAAGAGTGAGTTGTGCCTGCTGTATCTTCACTGGATGTGCTGCCAAGTTGAAATGGAGAGCTGGATGTTTACAAGTTTAGGAGAGGAGGTAGAAACTTCTGGGCATCGTTAACACCAGCCCTATGTCCACATGCATTAACTATTGATACAGTGTGTGCCACACGGAGTTACAGTTACATGCCAAAGTTTTAGAAAGGGTTATCGTCTTTCTCCCCGCGGAGCACGGGCGACAGATATCGCACCCTGATCTCACTGTACAGGAATGGGCAAAAGGAAAAAAATAAAAGTGCAATGCGTGAGTCCAGGTCCAAAGTGTGCCTATTACAAAATTAAATTCCTTCTAATGAGTTAATAAGTTGGCTGCCATGAAGATGATTAGCTCTTCAAATTCGTGCTCATAAAAAAAGGAAGGCAGCTTGCCTTAATTAGGACTCAACCTTTATATAGCTTCAACATGTGGATCATTAGCCCCATTGAACACTTTTATACCCAGAGAGCATATTAATTAGCGCAGTCTGGAATACCTGTGACGGCACTCATTCTACTGTCTGCACTCTCTCCTGTGGGACAGACAAATGGCAAGAGAGTGAGTGAGAGATGGAGCATATAACACACACAGATAAAGCTAGAGGTCAGTCTTTTAGAGTTCAAAGGCTACTGTTACAGTCACCTCTGAGTATTTGAGAGGGGTGGTAAAAGTTCTGGTGCACTCCCCCACAGAGAGGGCAAAGTTAATAGCATGTTTACACCGATGGTACAGGACATGACGGTCTGTTTATTCACTTAAGAACCAATAATGAATCACTGACACAGTGACTGAGTCTCAGTGTAGATAAATAAAAACCACAAATAACAGTCCATGTACATACTGTGCTTTCTAACAGCTTAATTTTAAACTTTACGGGAAGAGCTTGGCGAAAAATCAAATTTACACAACTTTACCCTTTTACCTTTTCAGTGCAGTAAATCATTTAAAAGGTAAATGGGTAAAATTGAGAAAAGGCAGCGTTATCCATAAATTATTCTACTCCAGTAACTCTACTGACTGTCTGCAGTAACAACACTCTATATCACTTCAACATAAATGGGTGGGCTAAACTGCTTCATGTTGAATGTAAATCAGCCAAGACATGCTTGGTGTCCAAAGTTTGCTTCTTTAGTTTTGCACTAGAGCTATGGGGCTAATGTAGCTAACAAATAATGGAAACTAATGTACACCACTTAGCAATGCGCGAACTGCCTAATGATCACACCTCAAACTGCGTCAAGCTGTTAAGCAATATCAAACAAATTTATGTGGCTTCTGGCACTCTATGACATCTCGTTGGACAAAAATACTGAAAAATTTGAGCTTGTGGCAAGATTCTTTCATTACATATGCTAGCTACATTAACCTTACAGCACCAGTAAAAAACCAACACAGCAAATTTCAGACACAAAACATTGTGGCTGTTGGGTGAAGAAAGTTGTGAACTATTGCTTTGAAGGCACATATTCTACAGTTTTCTTTTTTTACAGTCGAGTTTTAATGTTTGTATGGTTTGTCTGGAATTATATTGCCTGTGCATTTGAGACTGATGCGTGTACATTTTCTACTCCAATAACTCTACAAATTGCCCGCAGTAACAAAACTCTTTATCACTTCGACATAAATAGGTTGGCTAAACTGCTTAATGCTGAATGCAAATATGTATGTAAAAACAGTTAATTCTGAATTCATTGCGGTTGAGATGTTATTACCAAGATGTATTCAGAATATGTTTGTTTGAGAAAAGGCAACGTTTTCCATAAATGATCCTACTCCAGTAACTCTACAGACTGTCTGCAGTAACAACACTCCTTACCACTTCAACATAACTGGGCAGGCTAAATTCATACAGGCTGAAAGTAAATGTGTATGTGAATGTGTTTATGGTGAAATCACAACCACAATGTATCAAAACAGGCTGTTTTCGCAGCATAGTTTCTATATGGAACGGAGAGTAAACAATTCTAGTAAACAATACTTTTTAAACCTTTAGAAACCTTTTCCATAATATGGGCCCTTCAAAAGCCTAGCTTTAAGTTCCCAGCCTTAAAATCACCATGCAGCATACTCATCATAAATATTCTCATCGATCGTACAAGAGCAAAAGCGCAGTGCTGTCGGCTGCTGTGTGAATGATCATGCCAGAGATGTGGTGACTCAGAGGTGTGGGTAACTGAGGCGATGTGTGCTCTCACGCACTCGGCCTCTGTGCATGCCACATCCTGACACACAGTGATGGAGTGCTGAAATATGGCCCTGCCACAGCCCGCGAGGCATCGCCCTGCAGCACGCTGCCCTGCCCTCTGCCAGCTCTCGGCCCGCTGAAATCTTAGAGCCCTCTCCTCCTGCTGCTCTGCTGAATTATACAGCATCATCACCACAGCACTGTAAACATCCGCACCGATAAAACCATGGCGCACAAGAGAGCTCGAGTGTCCACTATGAGGCGTGTCATTCAGCATGAGTTAAGGCCTCTCTGAGACACTCAGGACTGTGTGGTCTGAAGAAGCAGGCAGATGAAGGCTTGACAGAAGAGGAAGTCTCTTACCTGTGTGAGTCTGCCGATGAGCCTCCAAGGCATCCTCTTTAGAGAACTGAGCTCCACACTGATCACAGACCACAGCTTTTGGTCCAGCTGCAAAACAGACAGTAGAGGATGTCAACAGGATTGTCAAGAACTTCAATATAGCATTTTTTACACTACTGAGTACTCTCAGTACACAAGACATGTATTGCATACAGTATGTAAACTTGTTTGTAGAAAGTTAAGCAACTGGATACATGCTATACCTTAAAGGACAAACTTAACTTTAATGAAGCATCTAAACATCTTTTTGAATGGTATGTTAAGAGGATCCTGGTAAACCCAATGAAACTGCACTCAAACGGCCGGCAAAGTCATAAATACAAGACGTAAACCTGGGCAAGTTCCATGTAACCCAAGCTTACCTTTGTTATAAACTTTGTCATAAAAACATTCATCCTTGCAGTAATACAAAGGGCCTGCAACAAGTATACAAGTGTGGCATTTCTCCCATTTTAGCACTGTGTTTTCCAGCCTGTGTACTTCCTATACCACATGTACTTGCAGTTAACGGCATCATTGGTCTGTTTCAGTGAGTATACATATCGTTCAATGTTATATATTTACCAGTTGCCACTGACCACCTGAATGCAGCTGATTTTGACAACTGTGTTGTCCACACAGTGCCTCCTCATTATTCTGGATCCATACTTTTCTGATTCTGTTTAACGATTATTGTGTTTACCCATGTTTTGTTTGCACTTCTTAGTGTAATCTGTAGCTGTTATCATGCGATGGGTTATGATTATGGTGATGGATGCACTGATACAAAATTGTGGGCAGATGCCGATATCCAACATTTTTCACAGACGTATCTGCTGATATCGCTGTATTTAATAATAAGATTTCTTTGTATAGTGTGACAAATGCAGTAAAATAAATTCAATGTAATACAATATAGCACAGTAGCCCTGCTAACAGTGTGACATACTGGTCAAATCTAATCATCTGTCTGGTACCCATAATGGCTGTTTTAAGTGATGCGCCAATACTGATATGATCCAGATACCACTGTACCTCCCTAATTATGACTAAAGAAAAGTCCTCAAAACTAAGACTCAAACTAATCATACTGCATACATCATACTGCTTCAAGCTCACTTTTGTAAAAATGCAAAACTTTGTTACAAAAAAATCCATGCAAGCAGAAATACAAAACGTTATCAATATACAAAAGCATTTGAACACTGCCGCATTGTCTCTCATCCATTTTAGAGCTTTTAAATTAAATTTGTTGATTTTATGCAGATGCTCTCATGAGCTGATCTGAGATCAGTTTCCCTGCTTCTCTGTTAATGATCAAAAAGGCTATTTCTCCTTGTTGCATCAAAGAACAGAGAAGAGCACTAATTTTCAGCCCCATTCTCAAATAATTAAGAGTCATGGACATACTGAGGAAGACCCAAGCTGAAACATTTATATGTGTTGCCAATTCTATTCCCAGCATTGGAACCAAAAAGAAAAACGCTAAATAACTCCAAAAGAAGCCACAACGCCTCATGCGGTCTCTCTGTGTGAGTCCTGATATGTTTCCAATATTTAGGTGGTCACCAATGTATATAGAGATGCTTGGGACCTGTGTTTGTGTACTGGAGCCTTGACATCTTTTAGGAAAACATTTATGTTTTGTGAGCCAATACACTCCATTCTCCAGGCTGCAGTTATAAAAATGATCTACTTCTGTAAATTTCTCACATCGCCCCCTGAAAAAAAAACCCTGTTCACTTCAAAACTGCCTGCATGCATTTACTGCATGTCAAGCAAGTGAAACATGAGATTATTTACCAAAATGTCAGTGTTGTCCTTTAAAGGTTTGGTTTCACTTCTCACAGAGGGAATTGTTTTTGATACAAAAAAAAATCCCCTTTATTCCCCCCTACACACACCAACGGAGAGCAGTGACACAAAGTCTCTTGACAGAACCAGAGAAATGTTCTTCTATCAAACAATAGCTGCCAGCTCTCTCTCGCCTCGCCTTCATAAAAGTCCACAAACTAGTCAAAAACGAACAAACAGCCATACATCCTCCAGGATATGAAACCATGACTGCATGTATCTCCGCGCTGACTTTTGACAGGTTGGGGTTCTCATTTTCAAAGCCCAAAAACTTTACTTTTTTGCTGCTTTGCATGGCAAAACATCTGACATTCGACCAATCTATGCTCTGCCCACAAAAGTGTTATTTGCTTGTTGAAAAAATTCTAATTAAAAAGTCTACTGCACTGTAGTGTATTGCCCTATTTCCATCAGTGGAATTTCTTAGCAGGGTTGGTAGTGTTGCACTGAAAATGTTGGGTTTTTTGTCTTTGAGAAGGAGATTGAGTAGTTAGTAATCTCATATCAGGTAAATGGATCAGCAAGTCAGAGCAGAACATGAAGTGTGGCCAGTATGTATCCTTAACTACACCAGTTAAGGATAGATACTGGCCACACTTCTAGTCACACGGTGGACAGTCACACATCTCGTTCGAGGTCATGAGAGAATGGGATTTCAGCTTTCAATGTGGTGAAAGAGAACTAGTGCGAGTGAGTCTAATAATGATGTGCATCACTCCCTCGACCCTGCGTCTGAAGTAGGGGGCTATTAATAGTGTCCCAGCCACCTGTAGAGCTGGCCTAGTCTGCCTCACAAACAGTGAAGTAGGCCACGAAATGCCCTTAATTTGAGCAACCACATTGAATGAACCACACCACAGTCTGGAAAAAAGAGAAAGTGTTCTTAATTGGGCTGTGAGGTTCTGGACGAAAACCATTTGAACATGAAAAACCTTTCTGCCTCCTGCATAAGTTCCTCAGATTCAACCAAGGCTCTGGCTGCAGCCTGAAGCTTTAGTATGAGCAGTACGGTCTCATATTGCTAGTAGCACAATTACAGGTTTAAGCACCTACATTTACACCATGGAAATCAGATTAAAGCAATAGTTCAATAAAAAATCGAATTTGCATAATTTCCCCGGTTACTCCAAATGTAGTGGACTAGCCAGAACATGTTTGGACAAAAATATGGTCAATTCAGACTGCTGTTTATAGCTATCAGCTGCACGTTTGTCCTTTTTGATAATAACAGTATGTTGTACTGTGTCAGAAACCACATCAGCCTGGTCTATCTGACATCACTTTGCACAATGCTAAAAGTTAGATATAAGCTTCCTTTACTTGTTAGCTACATTAGTCTCAATTTCATTGCAAGACTAAAGAAACAAACTTCAGACACTACATGTCTTGGGTGACCAACTAATTGTGCAAGAAAATATTGTGCAAACTGGCTTTTCATTGACATCTAATTTCCTTCTGCCTTCACCGTACTGCATGAATGCAGCCTTAAATCAGCACCAACACCCCATTATTACTGTAGTGAAAAGTGTTTACAGCATCTTTAAGGTTTAGAGACCCCATTCCTAATGGCTCTTTATAATCCCTCTATGAAGAAATTCTAACTAACACTAACCAAATCTGCCCCTCTGCTTCTCCACAGGTGAGATTTTGCTGTTTTCACATGCAAACAGCGAACTGCTCTGACCCAATCTCTCCTCATCTCCCCTCGACATGACTCCACTTCAGAGATACAGCACACGTAGCAGACAGGCATCAGTCTGTGCGTTAAAGTGAGGCATTCCACTGTCTATTCTCCTCTGTCTCACGTCCAGCCTCAGAGCATCCCGCCAGCTTTTGGCAAAGTCAATAAAATCTAAATCTATAATGACCCAAGGCTCGTCAAGTATCTATTTTCGCTCAGCTGCCTCTAAATGGCTTTATTATGAGTCATTAAAACGCCCACAAGCTCGAGGAAGCCAGCCAGCTAGCGCCTAAATTTAGCCTCTTCCCCACATACCCTTTTTCTTTTTCTTCTCATTCTCGTACCGCTGCCCCCAAAGCAAAGTGAAGCTGCACATGTGCTTTCACATGGCAAACCATCAGCAAGAGAAAAATCTGAACCAAAACAACAGGGTTCCTGCACTAAGTGCTTGGACCCCTAAAAAACATACTAAGCCTAAACTGCTAGCAATACTTAGAGCGAATTATGGATACTGAATATAATTGCAGCTAAAAGGGCAGGGCACACTGCAGCTGTATAGTGATGATAGTAAATTACTGGCTCAGTGTGGACTTATTTGACAAAAACAGAAATGACAAAGACATGCATTTTTGCATACACGCACATACAAGTACAGGCAAATCCACTAGAGCCCAACTGATGTCGGTCCGATAACAATGCCAATTTTGAGGGGCTAAAACTTTAGACAACTGATAATATTGGCTGACAGGGCTGCACAATAAATCATACTTTTTCGTTATTGTGATATAAGTTTTCATGATGAACGCATCGTCAAACTGATAAACACTTGACAAATTGAATTAAACAGTAGAATAATGTAAATTTTCTAGCACTTGGGGTGGAGCTACACAGAATTCTTTGTGGATTTAGTTTTTGTTTATTACCTTTTACTGTACTTCTGTACTTCTTCATTAGTTCTGTTCATAAAAAAGGTATCAAACTATTCATGAAAACCACTAAACCAAAAAAGCATGCAAGATGAATAACTACAAGATACAAGGTAACAGAACTAGAAAATACTGGAATATGACATAGAAACCATGCACACAAGGACACAAACACAACGAGATACAGATTAAACTAAGGTGGGCAAACAAGACACGAGTGACTACAATAATCATGAGGCGGAGTCAGGCTTGAATCAACTGCTTACAGTACTGTGGAAGACTGATAGATTCCATCTATCACTATTGCCAATCAAGCTGGATGATTTAAATGTCAGTTTGATTTACATGTTGTTTTACTTTAACAAAATGCAATTTATAGGCTATAAATGCATGATTTACTATATCTATATCAACAACTACCAAACTATACAGAGAACATCCAAACTATGAGCAAGAACAAAGTTAGCTTACAAACGTCTGTGCAGAAATTTGAGCAGGTTTAATTTTCTGGTTTAAGCATGCTTCTCTGTGGTTACCATGCTGAAACTTAGTTACTGGAGAAAGAAACTGTGGTTATAAAATATCCAGTTTCTGTAAGATCTTCAGTC